CAGGAGCGAATTCGGGTCGAAGTCCAGAAAGAAATTTTGCGACGAGAAATTCTTCCCTGTATCGTTTTTGAGTCTCCATATCAGTAGTCAAAGGCTGATACACATTCAATTCCTCCCACATACCTTTCAAGGTGGAGTAGTAATCTTCAATACAGCAATCTCCTTGTATAGTGGAAAAAAGATCCTCATAAAGCTAATGAATCTGAGAGATGTTTTGCTCAGATGAATACATCTCCTTCAGGGCATCCCAAATCTCTTTAAAGGATTCAAGAAAAGAGACATTGTTGAAGACCTCGGGCTCCATACTGTTCTATAACCAAGTCATAATTTGGGCATCTTCTTGTTCCCAAGCATCAACCAATTTGGCATCAGTAAGTTTGGTTGACTTAAGATAAGAGAACTTCCCTCGAGCTTTCAAAGCAACTTGGACAGCTCGGGCCCATTGAAGGTAATTGGGACCCTTGAGTTTGATATTGGTCATGGAACCAAAGAACAGAGAATCTTTAGCATATGTTTTGTCACCCATGGAGACCAAGCAAGAACGAGATGAGATCCGAGTAAGAATAGGATCCAAGTAAGGAGTTTAGCAAGAGGATTTTTTCCAAGCAAGGCTATGATGTGCCATAGAGTAGATGAAACTGCAACCCTTTTTTTTTTTACATAATATTAAACTGTTTACATAAGAAAATGAAAAACTAAATAGAACTCTAGTAGAATAAAAAATAAATAAATAAATAATAATAACAAACTAGAATTCTTAGAAGGCACCAAACTTTTGATGTGAGAACAATAGGGAGAAATGGTAGAGACTGGGTGAAGAAGAGGAAGATGGGAGTTGGGTCTCAACAGCATTTTTGCTCTGATACCATGTTGTAAATAAGAGCAAGAAAATAGAAGAGAAGTTTTCTTGTATATGACTTAGATGTGAGTACATGTGGGTTTAGGTTTATATAGGAACCCAAGACATACACTCAGTACATTAATTTAGCTAATTACCAGAAATTAAGCTCATCAAAATCCTATAATCAAGCTAGCAGATTACATGTAGCAGAATAGTCAACTTTCCTAATTAGTTACAGGCTGTAAAGAGCCTATATTCATGACACATGTAATTGAATCATTTTGGTATATTCATTTATATGATGTAATGGGTGCCTTGGTCATCTTATATACCATGTTTAAAATAGGTTGGAGGACATTTTAAGGACCTCCCATGGGACCAAAGTGGTGCCCATGGTCTTTGGCACTCAAAATAGACTATTTGGGGCCATTTTAGTGCATTCTAGCCAAGTGGAACTGGTTCCACCCCTTGGAACCGGTTGCACAACATTTTTGGGTTCCAGAAATGGGCTACTGCCCAAGTGGAACCGGTTCCGTGGGGCGGAACCGGTTGCACTTTCTAGGCAGGTCCCAGTTTTGGTTCCCAACTTCGCTCGGCCATAACTTCTTCAATTTAAATCCGAATGGGGTCAAATTTGTGTCCAAACTGCTTCTTGAAGTCAGCTTTCCAATTATATCAATCTCACTCTCAAATTCCAAGAACTCGAAGAGTGATGCCCTTTTTTGGAAGTAGGATCATGAAAACTCCTACACCGAGACTACCCAAATATGGGAAATCCTCTCTTTAGCCATTAGAACTTATGGAAAGTCCTTAAATGATTATGATGACTTGATTCGAACTCATTTAGCTTGTGAAATGCCAAATTACCTTCTTCCCTAGTCATGAAAGGACCGTTTTACCCCTGGTAGGTCCTCGGATTTGGGTAAGGACCCGAATTGGTATCACCGCCCATTAGTGACTCGGATCCACAGGATTTGGGTCGTTACACTACAAATGAGGCTCCTACCCTTTAGATAGAATTTATATAGAATTCTCCTCCTCAATGGAGAGGGATATGATGTGTTTGAATCAACTGCTAACATTAATTCTTTAGAACACTCTTCTAGATATTTACAAGCCAACACATCTTTATCCTTCTCTAGACCACTCTCTACTCTACACACTAGTACAACATTTTAGAATCCTCCACCACTCTCCAATTCTCTACTCAACTATGGAAGACTCCAGAATCCAATTCTCTACACTTGCCAAGTAGATCTCATGCAGAGTTCTCCTCAGCACTCACATGTTGCCTGTTGGTTAAGGAATCAGTTAGTGAAGGAAGCAGAGTCCTCAACGTTCGCATGTTGCCTGTTGGCTAAGGAGGCCGTTAGTGAAGAAGGGAGCTCAGCCAAGTGCATTAGTGAATTTGTGGAGCATTTGAAGGGTTCTAATACGAAAAGTGGGGGAAGGTACCTAAATGATCGCAGTTAGTTGTAGAAATGCACAAATTTTTATGCATTTAAGAATTTTTCCTTTATGCGGATTTTCTTTACTTTATCTGTTCCTGGGGATTTCTCTCTACATTTTTTTTTTATTCTTTAATATTCTACTTCTCTCTCTTTCTCTCTCTCTTTCAAAACAAATACTAAAAAATTATTTGCAGGGGAGGGGTGGGGTGGGGATTATTCTGTTTGTTTTTGTGGTAGGTTGTTTTGTAGGGAATTCTCGAGTTCCATTGTAGTGTTCATTTGTGAAAGCCCAGTTTGTTGGCAATCTTCTATGTTCATTGAATTTTTTCCTCCCTTCTCTCTCTATCTTGGTTTTTTTTTTTTTCCCTAATTTTTTTTCCTCATAAGGTAAATAAAAGATTGCAAGGAACCCTTCTCTTTCCAATGCTATTTTTATGACAAATAATAGGAGCTTCAAGGAGAAACTATAGGATGCAGATATTATAAAGAAAACCTAAACATAAGTTTTGATTGGATTATTTGGTGACTTCTGATTTGGGACTATATGATAATTTTTTTCAAGATCTCCTCCACCTAAACCCCACACACGGCTATATTAAAAAGCACTATTCTGACAATTGTGGCTCTTTCCACCACTCTTCCCTAATCTTGTGCCTAAGTTTTGTGTGAAAACATTAGTTCTTCATATATACATTCAAATTTAATTTTAGAGAATGCTGTGGCCCAAAACAAAGGAAAAGGAAATACAAAGTAGTGCACTTTTAAGAAGGCTGACAACTTTAATTTCAGAAAAATGTATATACATAACTGTTTCTTGCACCATTGTGCAACATTCTACCCATCAATACCAATTAGAAGACTTCAAAATTAATTAGAAACTCCCAACAACTTTGGAAAATTACTTAATTTCATTGGGATATCAGAATACTTGTATCTTCTGGTAAATGAAGCTTAATTTACTAAAAACAGCTCTGGAAAATTTCTCACTCCAAGTAATTCTGATGTTTCCATGGCTCAACATTTTGGTACACAACAATAGTGTTGTACTCGGACAAGGCTGTTATCGCAGTCTATTTTTGTCGTCCTCAACAAAATTATATCTGAAAAGGCCATATCAACGTAGACCAAAGAGTAAGGTAAGTGGGAAGGAAAGAATACTGTTCGGTAGAAAGTACTTCTGAAAGAATAATGGGGATTTAGTACAAGTTGTCTGAGAAACAAACAAACCGACCTAAAGTTGTCATATATCAAAATCCTCCCATATAATGGTATTCCACGGTGTCTTATCGAAACCACATCATTTTTATACTTCAAATTTCACCAATACTAGTGAAATTTCAAAGAAAATGTGGTGAAAAGGTGTACCACAAAATACTACAAGAGAGAAAGAGTATGTGTACTAGAGAGGACTTATAGCTCAGGATATAAAAATTCTTCACAAATTTTTGTGAACCTTTTTTCGTCCATTAACTTTTTCCTACATTCAAGCATTCAGTACTTAGTGCAATAGTTCAAATTGACAAGTTTGAGATAGGAAATTCAAGTTAGAATCACAGTTCAGTTAAACTAATATCAAAGGTTTAGTTTTATCTTCGGACTTACCATCCCAAATCCTAACATCTCACGTAGGCAGAAGATATAATAATAAGGGCCAAAGCTCTTCAATAGCTTATTCACAGCTCTATTAAACTAACATCAAAGGTTTAGTTTTATCTTCGGACTTTTTTTTTTTTTTTTTTGATAAGTAAAAATAACATTAAAAAGGCGTTCAAAAGGGGAACGCGTCCCAATTACAAAAGTGGAAAAGTGATAGATATTTTATCTTCGGACTTACCCTCCCAAATCCTAACATCTCGTGTAGGCAGAAGCATTAATAATAAGGGCCAAAGCTCTTCAATAGCATAAAGCCTCGAAATCATACAACAAGAAGTTTTATGCTTTCATGTATATAATTGCGAACAAGGGAGTGCTGAGCTTCCCTTCATTAACAGAATTTTGGAAAGTAAAGAGACAACTGTTACATTTTAGTAATGTCTGTTTCCTTCATCATCTGCTTGCTAGTAGGCTTTCACATTCACATCCACATTATAACCATACATATATATAAAGATTCCTTAGTTTTATTTTAATAGACTGTATTAATTCTATTAACTTGAGAAAATACTCAACAGCTCTTTAGCGAACAAGGGAGTGCTGAGCTTTCGGAATGAACCACGTGCAAATGCACTTCATCAAATTCATCAGACTTGTTTCTTGTTTACTGAGTCCAACTTGAGAAAAACTAAAACGACAACATGTATCTTTTCACTGACTTAAATTTTGTGACCCTACTGACTTATATTTTGTGTCCCTTCCTACCATAGATAGTATTTCAAGTTCTAAAAAAGAGAATCTCTAAATATGATAGTACAAAGGTGCTATGCTGTCCAAAAGCATCAGCAATAGAAGAACAAACTGCAAGCATTATTATTATTATTATTATTATTATTATTATATATATACACACATACATACATATATATATAAATATAAAGAGAGATTTTATGGACTGGGGATAATGTTATGCTGCAATGGCTAGCCAAATACAAAGAGATAACAGATCATATCGCATGCAGTGTTAACATGGGTAAAATGATAAAACATCAATTAATAATATCCAATTACCTTTAAATTGATGAGTATGAGACCAATAATTATGAGTTAGTTACCTTTCAATATACATATGAGGGTTTTGTTTGTTTTCCAGGTTACGTACCAAGTCCCTCAAACCATCCTCGTTTATGCCATCATTCTCTCTCCAACAGATAATGTGTCACCACCAACTTTGCTGATACCTGCTAGAACATGTGAACAATAAATAAGAAATAAGCTAAAATTTAGTAACCCAGCTTATTTATTAATGAAAAGAAAAATACATATTATGTTACTTCGTGCTAAGTTTGTCACATTATCAGTTAGTTGAGCCTAAAAGATAGCTCCAATTCTTATTTATTCCAAAAAATTGTCAAGTGTTAGTGTGTATGCACACGCCTTTTACGCATAAATGATGAAAAGAACAAGGAAGTCTGAACTTCACCTCTCTTCTTTAGCTTATTACGGAAACCCCTTTTCCTGCTAAATACCTTCTCCTGTAGCCATAAGAAAAGATCTGAGATTTAGGTGCACATATAATTTGTCATTGAAACCAAAATTCAAGGACACAAGTGAATTTACGTGTGTATCATTAATCCATTAAATTCAAATATAAATTATGATGCATTAGCATTGAAAATTGTATCAAACACAAATTCCACACTTCAAAGGAATAACGGCCAAAGGAGGCACTATTCTAAAATTATTACCCAAAAAGAAGAAACAAAGAAAAGTTTCTGTTCACGCAGGTTAAAGAAGTAGCAGATGTCAAATTAGGTACAAGAACAAAAAGTTGTGCTGAAAATATAACTTCTAAAAAATTACCACGGGCTCATCCAATATCCCTGCTTGATGAACTGCACCAACAAGAGCCCTGTTGGATTCAGTGTACAGGCTTGTAACAAGTCCATGTTGACCTGCTCTAGCTGTCCGACCAACCCTATGCAAGAAATCTACAGCAGATGTAGCAAATTCTGCCTGAAATGAATCACAATGTTCCCAAGGTTAGAGTTTCTACGCACCTGAATCGTGTGGTCAGATATTTTCATAACAAGAGCAGAAAGGAGGAAATAGATCTTCAGGAAACATTTTACTTGTAGCAAACAAAATTAAAAAAGGATTCTAATTCAGGGCGACTAAGCACAGTGTGAAACTTTTAAACTAGGAATCAAGTTGCCCACCCGAACTAGTTGGATATGGATATGGATATGTTAAGTTGAGTTTTCTACATGAATACCTGTATTAGTTATTCTACAGTCTACAAATCTCAACCTTTATGTGGTATAATAAAAAATAATTTAAGAGAAAATTTTATAAGTGTGATGGAGGCTGATATAAAAGTGACATAATAGAACAGAATAACAGCTGCAAAGCAGAGCTGGAGATGCAAGCTTGCATTCTCATATCTATTTTCAAGCCAAAGTTTTGTTTAAAAAATCTTCTCTAATTTGCTGCTATAATAGCACTTAAACAAAACTACATGTATTCGTATTTTTACTTTCTATGCATCAACATGATTAGAATCTGACTTTCCAATGGTTTTCATAGCAAATAAAGAAATAACCAGCACATGAGGAATGGACATAACTAACTTTTGAAAGAAAAGAAGTACCTGGATAACATGAAAAACATTTGGAATGTCGAGACCCCGTGCGGCAGCATCAGTGCACACAAGAACACCACCTTTTTGTCGAAACTCCACCAAGTTCTTTGTACGTTCTTGAAGAGAACTATCACTGTGGTAACGGAAACATTCAATCCCAGCTCCCAGCAAGATCTTAGCCACAGCTTCAACAGCCTCAACAGTGTTTGCAAACACCATGGTTCGCTTTAATCCATCCCCCGAATCCAAAGCCTGAGAGCCTTGGTTCACAGCATTTATAAGAGCATCAACCTGTGTATCAACTGTAACTTCAACCCACTTCTGCTCCAATCTGAAGCAAGAAAGGAGAGACCAGATCACCAACAGGCATGAATGGTTTTATTGCAACATAAAAAATAATGAAATTCAAACGAATGAACATATAAAATATTTCTATTATGAAAATTAGTGAGCATGACCATCCAAATGGTTACAGTATTTGTATTTTATATCACAAAGTTGAAATTAACCAGGAATATCCTGCCACTGAAGGTAAGTAAATAATTAAGTGTTAACTTTGAGACCGACAGTAACAGCATTTATGCATCAAAAAAAGAAATTTCAAACACCCGCATTATCATGAGCAAGTTCCTTATATTATTCTTAATTCGGTTGAGAGGGGCATATTCCTTGTCAAAAAATGGAAATCAGTCGCTATTATGAAATATCAATGTAGTGCGGAAATTTTTGTTTGTGCTCCTTCAAATGTTTCCTTCTCCCACCTACTGCTATACAAATTCTACGGAACTCTCTAATGGCATAACTATTAGCCAATTTTGAAGATTCGAAAAATAAACCCACAAATACTGGAATTATCTGCAAGTTGTATACTTTATATAGACAATAATATTGAAAAATGGTAGAGGAAATTTACATAAGAATTACACAGGATGACATGCCCAACAAAAAATGGTATGTCTATCATATCAGAAACTAGCTACTCCCAGAACTCTCAACTGTAATCATGATGCATGAATCAAAGGATAAAAACAAGTGCTAGCACTAGTCTATATTGGGTACATAAGAAATATGGCCACTGTCATTGAGCATCAAACTTTTAATGTGACAAATGAGTAGACCACAAGTTCTTTCACATTTGAAAAGTCATAAAACATAATTACCACAAGTTCTTTCACATTTGAAAAGTCATAAAACATAATTACCACAAGTTCTTTCACATTGGAAAGTCATAAATATAACTTTCAAAAACAAAAAAAAAAAAAAAAAAAAAAAAAAAAAAAAAAAAAAAAAGTCATAAAATATAAATTCTTCTAAATGTTTTATTAAGTGAACCTCTTCTTTTAATGATTTAACTAAACTCAAAAAGGGTGGGTATGATTCTTCAGCTAACAAGTATTTAACATACTAATCACCAAATGCCTGACATTTGATCAAGTAACCAATAACAAAGAAGCATTACATAACACTTGAAAAGCAAGTGAAACTAGAAAATATATATATATATATAAAAATATATATTATTCGTATCCATTGAAAATAGGTGGCACCTTGGGTTGTGATGATGGAGATAGTTTCCGCTAACCCAACTGGCATCTGGAAACATCTGTTTCAAAACTCCTCCTGCGGTTTTCTTTCCATTAAGAGGAAGGGTGGCTGCAACAAAAATGTACTGCTTGCTACGCTCATAAATCTTTCTCACCCTTTTCCAATCTTTTCTCTTGTTTAAACCAGCCTCAGTTTCTTCTGTTTGGACTTCAACATCAGTAACACCATCAGCTTTTTCATCCTCTTCCTGGATGACATCTGTTTGCAAGTCTTTATAATCTTCTATTTCAACATGCATTGGGGTATCAGTAGTTGAGTCGGATGCTTTCTCTTCCATCGAACTTTTTGGCCGGGACAACAGTTTTTCGTCAAAACGGAACATGTTTATCAGACGAATAACTTGATTCTGAAAGCTCCCACAGAGCAGCATGTCTGCTTCATCAAACACCTACATTGTTGAACAAACAACTAAGCAATATATCTGCATTTTTATTTTTTTTTTAAATAACACATATAAATGGAAGCTGGAAGAAGAATTACCACATATTTCACACCACGTATAAAATTAAAATGCCGGCGCCTCTCTTGGTCAATTGCATAAAGGTAATTCAGAAGAGCAGCTGGGGTCGACACAATAATATCTGGTTCATCAGCTGGCCAACCCTACAGCAATGATTTAACATATATGAGATTCATCCTAAAAGTATAAAAACATGCATATATAGAACACCGCATTATGTGCTTTTAGAAACACACAAACAAAAAATTCAATCACCACCAGAAATATGACCAATTCTTGTATCATAAGCAAGAAGAAAAGCAATTTCAGCATCTGTACCTGTCGCCCACAAACAGCTCCAACATTTAGAAGACGCTCACCATTATCATCGCAAAGAGAGTTTGCCATTCTAACCACTTGCTCACATAACATGACATTTGGGCAAAGAACAAGACCAAGTCGATGGGGCTGATTCGTTTCCTGATCAGCCTCAGCATTTGCTTCACAAAGCTTATCAATCAGGGGAACTAGGTACCCATGGGTCTTACCACTACCGGTCTCGGCTGCAACCACCACATCATTTCTTGAAAGTATATCAGGTATACAAGCAGCCTGAATTGCAAACAAAAACATCTCAATAGCTCAAATACTAATCATCATCTCTACAAAATGCTGCCGACAATTGGAAAATTTGAGCAGTACATTAGTCACTTGATGTTTTGAATAAATAAATACGAATTGACCTCATACATAAATACCAAAAAAAAAAAAAAGAAGGACAACACAACACATAAAAATTATAGTACAAGCATGCAAATGGGCATCAAAAGAAAATTATATGCTTCATTGTTCTGTTTGCCTTTGCATTGTAATTGTAATAAGAAGAAGTCCAGAAGTGGCAATGGGTCCTTAAATAATACAGGGTTACATGACTAATACAGACGACAAAGAATCATTTTTACAAATTCACAAGTTACAGCAAAAAAAATTCAACTTTCGATTCATCATATGTGAAAATGGCTGTCTTCTACTTATACAATAGTGCATTTACACACGAAATTCAAAACAAAATAAATGAAATAATACGTTATAACAATTTCATTAAAATTATGTTCATGTTCTTTGTATTTCCATCACAGCAGCTTAAAATCGATTGGAACACACATAAATAGGGGTTAGTTAAGATAAGGTGGGTAAATGCACCTGAATCAAAGAGGGTCTTTGGAGACCCATATTGGAGAGGGCTTGAGACAGACGAAATGATATTCCAAGTGATGTCCAGGTAACGCTATCTTCAGCGAAGAACGTGCCGCCTCCTTTTTTGTCTGCGGTGGCGGTGGCGGAGGTGGCGGTGGTGGTGGCGGCGGCGGCAGTGGCAGTGGCAGCTCCAAATGATCTAATTCGACTGCGATTTGGTTGGATAAGCCAAGATTGGCTTATTCTGATACAAGAAGAAGAAGAAGACAGTGAAGAAGGTTTGAATGGTGAGAAGAGTTTGGGCGGAGATGATAATCGGCATATGTGGAGCATGGAAACCGGACGCTGCAAAATCATCGTCTCTGTTCAGTTCCCAAATTGAAACGAAGATGAAGAAGGTTGTGTGGAGGAGTGAATTTTGAGTATGTTATGTTTAGGGTTTAACCTAGTTATGCTAAAAACCTCTCATAGCTTAAAAAAGACTTTTGTATCTTTATGAAATGGTGAGATTGAAGTACGACATGAGATAGATGACAAGAAAGAACTTGTCACACAGACACACCCTTTGTTATAATAAACTAAAATAACTAGTTATTTTTAATTCTTTTTCATTGTTATGTGTTTTGTGTGGGTGGCAGCAATCTTATATAGGAAAGCTGCTCGTATGAAATGGTTGTGCAATAAAAAATAAATAAATAAAAGTCTCTCTTTTACTTTCTCCATTCTACACACACATATATATTCATTATCAGCAAGCTCTATCCATCTAAAATTTAAAGAAGAAATTTTCTCTCTTTTTCTATCTCAACTATATGTCTTTTTGTGATATTAGTTTTGATAGATTGTTGGATTTAATTGTTTTATTGAAAAAAATTGTATTTCTGACTTCAAAGGGTAAGAAAATTTTAATTATTAATTATTATTCATAAAAATAAATTTGTTTACTTAAATGATATATGTGTTCATACTATAGTCAATTCTACCACATTTATTATTTAATGATTTATTAATTATGGTCAATTTTACCACCTTTATTATTTAATGATTTATAACCGGTTTTACCGCCTTTATTATTTAATAATTTATTCACTATGACTGGTTTTACCACCTTTGTTATTTAATAATTCATATTATATTATTGTTTCACTTAATGTTATTTTATATATTATGCTAAATTATATTTTTATATTGTTGTAACATCTAGTTATTCTGAAAATGTCGAACTTAACAAAGCTAGAATTCGTGGCCTTGAACATTTCTGGCAAAAATTATTTATCTTGGATCTAGATGCTCAGATCCATTTAGATGCCATGGGCATCGGAAACACAATTAAAGAAGAAAATGATGCATCATTACAAGATAAAGCGAAGGCCATGATTTTCCTTCAGCGCCATATTAGTAAGGAGCTAAAAACTGAATACCTCACTGAAAGAGATCCACTGTATTTGTGAAAAAAATTTAAAGAAATATATAATCATCAAAAAACAGTTATCCTCCCAAAGGCTCGGGCTGATTGGCAGAAATTGCGGTTGCAAGATTTTAAAACTGTGGCTGAATACAACTCTGCCCTATTTAAAATCAGCTCTACATTGAAATTGTGTGTTGATACCATCACTGATGAACTTTTGTTGGAAATAAACATTCATTACATTTCACGTCTCGAATGTACTCTTACAACGACAATATCGAGAACCTAGATTTGAAAATTATTCAAAGCTGGTATCATGTTTACTTGTGGCGGAGCAAAATAACAAGCTTCTGTTAAGAAACCACCAATCTCGTCCAACTGGATCGATACCGATCCCTGAAACATATGTTGCCTCATCCCGTGGACGTGGTCGTGGTGGTAGAAATGGCTATAATAATGAATATGGTCGTGGTAAAAATAACTACCACAATAATGAATATGGTCGTGGTATAAATAATTCTTATTACTGTAAAGAATATCAATCCTCATATTTTCGCAATCAGAGATCCACACCATATTCCCAAAAAAAATATTATAATGAAATGCAATAAGTAAAAAGGAAGGATGTGGCTCAACCTCCCAAAACACATGATAATACTTGTTATCGGTGTGGCATGACAGGGCATTGATAAAGCATTTGTCGTACACCTAAGCATCTGGCTGAACTTTACCAAGCCTCAATGAAAGAAAAGGAAAAACAAAAGGAAATGAATTTCATTGATCATGATGAGTCAGTTGACATCACAAATCTGGATGTATCAGATTTTTTTTAGGACCGTGATAGAAAGATAGACTTTCTAATTGGTGATGGAAATATCCACACCAATTAATCCTACTTTCTGTCTACTATATTATCTTCAACAAGTTTTTATTTTCCTTGTATTAAAGTTTTTATTTTCTAGTTTATATTAAAGTTTCTTTTGTTATAAAAAGTTTATTTTCTGATAAAGAAATTTGCATGAATAGGAATGTATCTAACTAGTTCTAAAATAAATGGTTACGATATATGTCTTGCAGATAGTGGAATGACACACACAATCCTTCGAAATCAAAAATATTTTTCTCACTTAACTTTGACAGACGCTAGTGTCAGTACAATATCAAGTCCCACTGACTTGATTGAAGACTCGGGACGAGCCAACATCATTTTACCACATGGAACAAGATTACAAATCAATGATGCCTTATATTCTACAAGATCTCGGAGAAATCTGTTGAATTTTAAAGACTTGCGTTATAATGGGTATCATATTGAGATCGCGAATGAAATAAATGTGGAATATCTCTACATTACTTCTATTACCTCATGCAAGAAGTTGATATTAAAAAAAAACTCCCTATTTTCTCTTCTAAGTTATATTATACAACCATTAAGAAAATTGAGTCTAATGCTGTGATATATAAAAAATCATGTGACCCAAAACTTTTTATGTTTTGGCATGATCGACTTGATCACCAGGGGAGTACAATGATGCGTCGAATTATTGAAAATTCATATGGATACCCACTAAATGATCAAAAAATCATCTTACCAAATAATCATCTATGCACCGCCTGCTCACAAGGTAAGTTGATTATCACCATCTCCTTCACAAGTCATTGTTGAATCTCCCCCATTTTTACAACGAATTCACGGGGATATATGTGGGCCAATTCATCCACCTTGTGGACCATTTCGCTATTTTATGGTCTTAATTGATGTCTTAACGCGATGGTCACATGTTTATCTGGTTTCTACTCGTAATGTTGCATTTGCTAGACTTCTTGCTCAAATCATCAAATTATGGGCACACTTTCCTGATTACCCAATTAAGACAATCCATTTTGATAATGCCGCTGAATTTTCTTCTTAAGCTTTTAATGATTTTTGCATGTCAGTTGGAATTAATATTGAATATCCTGTTGCACACATTCATACTCAAAATGGTATGGCTGAATCTTTTATTAAAAAACTTCAGTTAATTGGCTGTCCTTTGCTTATACGAACAAAATTACATGTTTCTGCCTAGGGTCATGCCATATTACATGCTGCATCATTAGTTCGTATACGACCAACTGCTTATCATAAGTACTCACTATTGCAACTTGTTTTTGGTCAACAACCAAATATATCTTACATATAAGTTTTTGGTTGTGCTGTATACGTTCCAATTGCACCACCCCAACGCACTAAAATGGGTCCTTAACGTATAGCTGGAATTTATGTTGGTTTTGATTCTCTTTCTATTATTAGATATCCTGAACCCCTGACAGGTGATGTCTTTAAAGCACGATTTGCTGACTGTCATTTTGATAAGACTGTTTTCCCACCATTAGGGAAAGAAAAGGCACAGCAGCAACATGATATTACTTGGAATGTCATGTAATTGTCTCGTTTTGATCCTCGCATAAATTAATGTGAATGAGAAGTTCAGAGGATCATTCACTTGCAAAATGTTGCAAATCAATTACCTGATGCATTTACTGATACAAAGAAAGCAATAAAATCACATATACCAGCTGCAAATGTTTCAGCACGAATTGATGTCCCTAAAGGACCTTCTGTCAGTAATGCAACAAATGTATTTTAAATACGCCTGAAGCGTGGTAGACCAGTCGGTGCAAAAGATACTACTCCTCGTAAGAGAAAATTACAAAGAAAAACTGGCACTTTTGAAGAGGCCACAAAAGGAGCAACAGATATTATTGATCAATTTAAAATAATAGCCTTTGATAAGGCAGAGGCTCTTGATGAGTCTCAGGTACCTAAATAATAAATATTGATGAGACAAAGGCAACAGATGATGATATGGCCCTTGATGAGGCAAAGGTACCTGAAAATGATGAGATCTTACTAAATTATGAAACGAGATGGAATAAAAATGAAATTATTGTCGACAATATATCCTTATGTGTCATCGCTCTTGATATTGATAATGAGGATCCGAAACCTCAAAACGTCGAAGAATGTCGACGAAAAAATGGTTGGCCAAAATGGAAAGAAGCAATACAAGCAGAGCTAAATTCATTAGCTAAACGTGAAATATTTGGACCTGTAGTTCAAACGCCTGAGGGTGTTAATCTTGTTGGGTACAAATGGGTATTTGTACGAAAACGTAGTGAGCAAAATGAAATCGTAAGATACAAAGCCCGACTGGTAGCTCAAGGTTTCTCATAGAGACCTAATATTGATTATGAGGAAACGTACTCTCCTGTGATTGATGCACCCACATTTAGATTCATAATACATTTAGCAGTCACTGAAAAATTGCATATGCATCTCATGGACGTGGTTACAATATATTTATATGGAACACTAGATAGTGATATTTATATGAAAATCCAGAAGGATTTAAAATGCCTAAAACAAAACCACGTAATATGTACTCTATCAAATTACAGCGATTCTTATATGGATTGAAGCAATATGGACGAATGTGGTACAATCGCCTTAGCGATTACTTACTTAAAGAAAGATATGTGAACAATCATATTTGTCCATACATTTTTATTAATAAATCAGAATCTGGTTTTGTTATTGTTACAGTATATGTTGATGATCTGAATCTTGTGGAAAATTGGACGAGATTGAAAAGATGGCCACTTATTTAAAGAAAGAATTCGAAATGAAAGATCTTTGAAAGACAAAATTCTGCCTTGGACTGCAGAAAAGATTCTGAAACGTTTTCATATGGATAAAGTCTATCCATTGAGCTCTCCAATGGTTGTCTAATCACTTGATGTCAAGAAAGATCATTTTCGTCATCGAGAGGATGATGAAGAACTCCTAGGTCCTGAAGTGCCTTATCTTAGTGCGATCAGTGCTCGTTTGTATCTTGCAAATTGCACAAGACCTGACATAATTTTTTCAGTCAATTTATTAGCAAGGTACAGTTCTGCACCAACCCGCAGACATTAGAATGGAATCAAACACATATTGCAATATTTTCGTGGCATAACTGATATGGGCTTGTTTTATTCAAAGGCGCCAAATTCTCAATTAATTGGATATACAGATGCCGGCTATCTCTTTGACCCATATAAAGCTTATTCACAAACAGGATATGTGTTTACCTGTGGCGGCACTGCAATATCATGACGATCTATGAAACAGACAATGATTGCAACTTCTTCAAATCATTATGAGATACTCGCAATTCATAAGGCAAGTAGGGAATGCATTTGGTTAAGATCAATGATCCAATATATTCGAACAACATGTGGTCTCTCATCAATAAAATAAAGCCCAACAGTATTATATGAAGATAATACGACATGCATTACACAGATGAAAGAATGATATATTAAAAATGACAGGATCAAGCACATCTCACCAAAATTCTTTTATGTGCATGAATGCCATAAAAAGGGTGATATTGATATTCAGAAGATACGTTCATGTGAAAATCTAGCAGATCTATTCACTAAAATGCTTCCAACTACAACATTTAAGAAGCTGGTGCACAACATTGGAATGCGTCAACTAAATGATTTTTAGGGTTGAGCAAATGAGGGGGAGCAATTGATCGAAGAGGTATTGACATACCGTACTCTTTTTCCTTCGTCCAGGTTTTGTCCTACTGAGTTTTCCTGGCAAGGTTTTAATGAGGTAGTTTTAATCTATGTAATACCATTTTCAGATACACAAGAATACTATACTTTTTTCCCTTCGTTAGGATTTTGTTTCACTGGGTTTTTCTTAGTAAGGTTTTAATAAGGCATATTCTTAGTGTAATATTATGAATCCCAAGAAAGAGTGTTATGTCTATATGTGTTTTGTGTGGGGTCAACACATTGAAAATGGCAGTAAGCTTATGTAGGAAGCTGCTTGCTGCCCACGAATTGAATGCCTATAAATAGTCATCATATGTATGAAATGGGGTGTCCAATAAAAAAAAAAAAAAAAAGTCTCTCTCTCTCTCTTATACTTTCTCCATTCTCCCACTAAATCTCCATCTCTCTCTCTCTCTCTCTATATGTATATACACACACACACATATTTATTATATTCACTACTTATACTTTTTAATAAAATAGAATTTTTAGGTTCAGTTTTTCTGAAAACAAAAAATATTTTCAAAATAGTGACAAAAATTGCAATATGAAAATAAAAAATTTAATTTTCAAAAAACAAAACATAAATTTTCTAACTCAAATTTTAAAATCAATTGCTAAAACTACAATATATTTTTTAACTCAATTTTTAAAATCAATTACTAAAAATACAATTCAGCGCTTATTTAAGTGAGTTTGATAATTAATTTCAACTTTTTTTCTTCTTATAATTTAAAAATCATTCTCTTCTTTCTCGTCATGTTCTCTAATAACTCTCCAAATATAATATATATATATATATATATATATCTTTCTCTCTCTTTTGGTTCTCCTTTCCAATTCCCTTATACTTCTCCTAAATCTGCAACCAAACACGGTCGCTGGTGCTCAATACAGCGCACGTCCACGTGGGACTGTGTCCTTACACCTTAATAAGTTCATATAAACTCTAGTGTATGCGATAACAACCAGCAAGCGGTTTAAACTGCGTAGTCTCATCTTCTGGCTTCTTGTAGAAGAAGCACAGAGAGCTAATGGCGCCAAAGGCAACGAAGCATGATCCTCAGGGTATGTTCGCCGGAATGGTTGTCTTGTTGATCGAAAACGAAGTCCAGACTCGTCGATTACAGGTTCCGTCACTATATTTCCTTCCCAATACATATGTTTATGCATATAAAGACCTGATAAATATATATATATATATATATATATATATATGCATTTGGGTTTTGTAGCTTATTGGTTTCATTTTTGTGTTCTTGAAGATTTGGAAGCAGAAATTGGTGCAAATGGGAGCTACAATAGAGGACCGACTGTCCAAAAGAGTCACTCATGTGTTTACTATGAATTCAGACGCCCTTTTCCAACAAATTGGTCGTCAACGCTTGGACCGCTTGAAAGGAGTAATCTTTCATCTTTCTCACTCTCTCTCTCACACACACACACAATTTATCTCCCTCCTGTGATTTTTTTTCAAAATTATGCGCTAAATATGAATGTTTCTGAAAATGGGTACATACATTAATGTCTTGAGTTTTGATGTATTTTATTGATCAATTAATTTGACGGTGGTAAGAGTTTTGGCTTGTTAATTATTCATTCACATAATCTAATGTGAGTTTTTAAGATTTGCACCAAATTTATGTATCATAATGGGGTTGCTGGATAACTTTGGCTTTGTTTGGGGACTTAAAAATTCAATTGAAGAACGTGGAATACTGTGGCCAATCCTTTGTTGGAATGTCCTTCGAATGCCTCATATTTATTGTGTTGAAGGATATTAATATAAAAGTTGCATCTTCTCTAACAACTTAAGCTTTTGGAGTAGATGGTTGTTAACATGGTATCAAAGCCAAAGGTTTTGAGTTCAAACCTCACCGTCACCTTAATTAAAATAATTCCCTAATTAAAATAATTGAAAAACACGTGTTGGACAAAAAAAAAAAAGCCACAGGTGGCTTAAGCTTTTGAAGTAGATGGTTGGTTAACATATTGTTTTTTCGCCAAAATTGTGTATGCTCCTAAATATCAATTCAACTGGATTGTGTATTACCCCACTAACTTTTTTATATGCCTATCAATGTATTGTTGTAATTTTGCTTGGTTGAACAGTTGAACTGCCTCACACCTATGATTTTTGGCAAGTGTTCCCGGTCAAGGGTCTTTTTTGTTTATCAGTTTTTTCAACTTCAATGTTGTTGTCACTGTTTGAACCTCTTTTTTTTATGCTTCCTGTGAAAATCCTAGAAGCCAAACTTTTAGAAGCATATAGGTATTCAACTCAATCCAACTCGGGAGAGCCTTTTCCCAAATATACAGTGTTGGCTACATGAATCCAATTTCACCATTTTGATCTATCTCATAAAGGGATGTAAAGAATTTGAAAATTGTTTTAGGAAGTAACTTTGATGGTTAAGCTTTTGAACCTCTCTTTTTAATGCTTCCTGTGAAAATCCTAGAAGCCAAACTTTTAGAAGCATATAGGTACTCAACTCAATCCAACTCAGGAGAGCCTTTTTCCAAATACACGGGGTTGGCTACAAGCCTACATGAATCCAGTTTCACCATTTTGATCTATCTTAAAACGGGATATGAAGAATTTGAAAATTGTTTTAGGAAGTAACTTTGACGTTTAAGTTTACCACCTCATTGCCATTAAAAAAATAAAAATGAGAAGGAAAGAAAATCCTATTATACTTCAATAGTTAATAAAGAATGGATACTTTTAAGGGATTCCATAGCTGTATCTGATACATCACCTATGACATAATTTATTTTTGATTTTCTGTCTAATCAACTGGTATTTTCTATTTCTACTATACCAGTACTACTTCACAGTTCATAGCTTCTATTTGTTTCATTCATGTTGTTTCCCTTTTCACATGAAAGAGAATATGCTCACTGTTACATTAATTTGTGAAACAGGAGCCCTCTCTTTGGAAGATATGGCATGACTTTAGATACTTGATTGCTGGAATGATGAGCTCCTTATTTTTTTTATCCAATTGCTAATTTCCTTTTTTATTATCAACAAATTAGAAATTATATCTGTAGCTTTACAGATATATACAACAACTTAATGTTTTTGTATATGATATATAACTTTGTTGTTGTTCCTCACCGTGTATTTTCTCATACCCTTTTCCTTGATTAGTATCCATACTTCCTGCCCAATAGTCAGACCTATTTATTTACCTTAAAAAAAATGAAAAACTAGTCAGACCTATTTCTCAACTAACTTTTAATAAATGATCGTGGCTTAGTTTCTCTCAGAAAATTTATATGTCCTCAATTTTATTGACTAACTTAATTTTATGACTTAAAATCCTTATTACAATTAGTTGGGGTGTGCTATTAGGTTGTGATGTCTGGCTTTCTTGTGAAGTTCATATATACAAGTTCGTTGATCCATTAATAGTTTTTTAAAGTTTTGACGGTCCATATCGACAATTGTTGCCAGAATAGTCTTCTTTATCAGTGGCTGGAGGACAGTTTGAGATTAGGAGAAAAAGTGCCTGAAGATTCTTATGTTCTAGCATTGGATTCAGAACAACAAGGTTCGCCAAACACATCTTTGGAGAAAAATTCTCCCAAGCCCGCTAATGGAAACAATTCTAGTGATAATGAAGCGTCACATTGCAAAAAGGTCAAAACATCTTCTGAGAACCCAGGAAATGCAAGTGCGAAGAACATGGACAACACAAGAAATAACTTTGTATACGAAGCACCGAGTACAGCCACTGTTTCTGATGACTCGTCCCTTGATCTAAGCCCAGTAATTAGCAGGACCAGTCCTACGAGCTCTGGTGCTCCCGATAAGGCTGTAAGATTGAGTAATCCATTTTTCTGATTATTTGTGAAACTCATGAGCTCTCCCTCTCTCTGTCTCTCTGTGTCTCTCTCATCCATGGATGCAGAGTCTTAGGTATCTTGCAGCATCAATGATTATTATTTGTGCATTTTTCCTTTTGGATTCGTTGCGAGTGAATACTTCTACCATTTGCTTATCAGGTTGGTACGTCAAACTCATCCTTGCCATATAGTCCACCAGATTTAAACAGGAATATCTGTTTGATATTTGGAAAGCTTATCAACATATATCGAGGTGGTTTTTTATTTTCTATTTTTACTTTTTGGAGCATTCACTCTTGTGCATCCTTGGCAATCTGGCTTATCTGTTCTTTTGGATTTTAATGTGATGAACTACTTATCTGTGACAGCACTTCGTGATGATCGGAGGTCTTTTAGCTATTACAAGGCTATTGGGGTTATTGAGAAGTTGTCCTTTAAAATTGAGAGTTCGGATCAGGTCAAACACTTACCTTCAATTGGAAAATCAATACAGGATCATGTAAGTAAACAGATTTAGGTTCAAACTTATGATGCTCAACATTTGGTGCTTCGGCTCAATAGCTTTATTGCTTCTTTGAAGTTCTCATCTTTTTTAAGCTGCTGTTTGCATGGATCAGGTTATGAGACAAGATGCTAGCTAATAATTTGTTTTCTCATAGTAATTTAGCTAATTGGTTGTTTTGCTTCTTTTATAATCTCCTTAGTCCTTATATATCTATCAGAAAGTGTTGTAGCTTCTTGTAGACCTAAATGATTCATTAGAGTGAGTGTCACTGTGGATAGCAGATGTGATGCATTCTATGCTATACGTGTTTCTGTTACCAAAAAGGTTCCATTTGAAACTTAAAATAATGAATTCCTTATATGACATATATCTGAATTTCAAAGAACTATGTGCTTTTTAAATATGCTTTTATAGGGTGGATTTTCCATTTACCTAAGAAGACTACATATGCAGTTCTATTTGATTGCAGATTCAGGAGATAGTTAGTACCGGGAAGCTGTCCAAGTTAGAGCACTTTGAGACAGATGAAAAGGTATTTTGAAGGTTTAGTCAATCAGAAATTCTGTACCTGTACTGCTAATCACTTTATCAGTGATGATCATTCACCTGTTATATAATTGTGAGATCTACTGCCCTGTTGTTCACTGATATTTGAAACATTACTTTGTTTGGATTTAGTTTGCGATTATTTGTGAATGCATAAGACCTGTTATGCATTCAATGATTTTCTTAATTTTAACTAAACTTCTTGCAAACTATAATTCACGTTCCAACCCTAATCTTTCTCTCTCTCTCTCTCTTACTGGAATTTGTAGAAAGGAGTTTGAGATGCATCCTTTTCAGTTTTAGATTGACTTTATTGGTGGTTTCATCTTAATGTTTTCTTTGTTTTGGAGGTTAAAATTTGATCTACTGTTCTACTTTCTTACTAAGTTGCTATTTCAGGGTGAATTAGATAAATTAATTTTTTATTTTTTGGGGAAAAAAAAGAAAAAGAAAGCGTCCATACTTATCCTGGACCACATTTTTGTATATTGATCATGCAAGAGATAAAATTTGTTAGTTTGTAGTTAATGACCCAAGGTAAATATACGGTATATGTCTTTGTAGTCTAGAATCATATTACTTCATATGGTTTTGTTGTATTTTTGCAGGTGCGGACAATCAGTCTATTTGGGGAAGTATGGGGCATTGGTCCAGCCACCGCTCTGAAACTTTACGAAAAAGGACATCGAAGTTTAGATGATCTGAAGAATGAGGACTCATTATCAAATGCACAGAGGCTAGGTTTGAAATATTTTGATGATATCAAAACCAGGATTCCGCGTCATGAGGTTTGGCCTTTGTGCTTCTTGAATTTTACTATCTATAATGATTACATGAAAGTTTCATTTTCATGTTGCCTCACTAACATTTGAGATACATTTGGATTACATAGGTTGAAGAAATGGAACTTCTCCTAAAGAAAGCTGGAGAAGATGTATTGCCTGGGGTGAGCACTATAACTATTCTAGTGAGTTGGTTTAAGAGTTGATTTATCTTCATTTAACGTTGTTGGTTTTGATCTTCTAAAGCTATGTTAATAGCAGTATATGTAGTACTTATCAAAAAAAAAAAAAATAGCAGTATATGTAGTAGATTTCCGTGATGTGGACAATATGTTTTTAGTTATCATATTAGGAATTAAGTTTAGATGAGAACAATGGAGAGATATGTCAAACTTTTAAGTTCCTAGACCATTTTTAGCAATAAATGCAGTTGATTTCTTCATTCTTGCCAATATTATTTTAGTTATTGGAGTAGGAATTTAAGTCCATATTAGATTAATGAAGATATACTTCGAAAGTTAAGTTATTGGGTTGAGTGGGACTAAGAAAATAAGTAGTATTAGAAGTTGAACTTAGAAAAAGTAAAGTTGATGACCACGAGATTTCTATTGTACCGTTTGAGGGGATTGGGGCGGGGTGAGGCTGATTGCTGGAGGTTTCGAAAGTAAATATATACTTATATAAAATCAAAATTAAAGAAAATTGAGTGGGGGTAGTTGCCCCTGTTGAGCCCCATGTGGTTTCATTACTGCCATTTAAATGATATATTTTTTTATATAAAGATATCGATAATATAATGCTTTTTATGCTCTGTGGCCTTAGATTGCTGGCTTTTGTTTTTTGGTTTATTTGGGATTCATTGGGTTATGCTACGGTCTACCAGAGGCTTGGAGAGGGTGTATAGTGGGGGCCTAAGCTCGTGACCCTTGGCGGGTCACTCCTTTGTGCGTTTAGCAGTGTCTTTGGCTTGAAAGAAATAGGAGACCCTTTGAGGGAAAGGAAAATAATGTTGGGTCGTTGAAATTCTCCATTCTTAGCACCCTTTTTTGTTGGGTTCTAGGAAGAAATTGTAAATCCTTGGATGAGCTTGTAGAGTTTATGGATTTGTTGAGGATTAGAGGCCCTTTTTTGGCCTTGTGTTGTTTTTGAGGGACGCGTTCCCCTTTTGAAGGCTTTCAATGAATTTATTACTTATCAAAAAAATATATAAAGCTTTTTATGCTCAATGGGACACCTTTTCTGAACGAACTTGAGGATGAACATGAATGTATTAGTAGACATATTATACACAGACATATATACAAAATTTTGTCATATAATGATTGGTTTGACCAAACCACATTGAACCTTCAGTTCTAAACTTACTATCACAGCCTTTGACATAGCTTTATATGCTCATCTGTTGTTGTGATTCTATGTTTAAGGTGTCTGTTGTATGTGGAGGATCCTTCAGACGCGGAAAAGCTTCTTGCGGAGATTTGGACATTATAATTACACATCCTGATGGAAAAAGGTATTTATTCTATCTTCTGATGAGAGATTTTTCTTTAAAAATACAAGCAAAGAAAATAATGATCATTTCTGCTTTGCCTGAATTCTCTAAAATATGTGATGTGTTGCAATTTACAAAGTATCAAGCTCATCTCTTGCGTTGCGCAGGCCTTTTGGCCTGACCAATGATCCTCCTACATTTTGTAATTTGATGAATATTTAACAAAATTTGTATTTCTAATCTTTTAGTATTAAGTTTCCTAATTGCTTTAACTAAAATTGAATAAAAGAGGACCAACAGGCCAGTGGCCTAGCAGTACCAAGCTCTTACTTCTTAAAGAGAGGTCAGGGGTTCGAGCCTTAGTGGAGGCATGTGTGTGTGAGTACCAACTAGGAAAAAAAAAAATTTGAATAAAAGAGGGGTTTTTTTTTTGGTTGGGGGGGGGGTTGTCATGTTAGAATAACAGTAGAAATATAATATAGAAGAAAGATAAGAGAAATATGTAAAAGGTTTGAATAAGATGTTATATACACTCATTCACACCTCTCATATTTATATACTAAAAAGAGCACATGTTAATATTACAATAAAGGAAACTGAATAAGATCATTGCATATTCTATGCCTAGACATATGCGTAAACAAAGTCAAATTCATGATTTGTGGCTATCATATCTCAGATAATATGGTAAGTCACATCCTATGATTTGGGCCTATCATAACTTGGCTAAAACTCCCCTTCAAGTTGGTGCGTGGATGTCGTAGACGCCCTACTTGGACAATGCATCCTTAAACACGGTCTTGCTAACACGTGTAAATCTAATTAGCGATGCTTTTCTATCAAATGAAGTGCTGATCAACAATTCAAAGTGTCTCCTTAGACAATAAACATTCAACAATGTCTCCTCAGGCCAGAACAACCAACCATGTCTCCTCAGACCGTAAACAACCAACAATGTCTCCTCAAACCATTTCCCTTCATACACATGTTTAAAATATGTAGATAGAAGAATCAACAATGCCTTCTCAAACCATTCCCCTTCATACATATGTTTAAACAATGTAGATGAAAGAATCAACAATGTCTCCTCAGACCAAAAAAACGACGACGTCTCCTCACACCATTTCTAAATGGGTGGTTTCGAACTTACAATGCCCTCATTGAGGTCGGACAGCCTTGCCTACTCGACACCTCCCGGATGAGGGATGTCTCCTTAGACCATTCTCGAAGGGGTGGTGCCGAACTTGCAATGCCCTCATTGCAATCGGACCACTCTGGCTCTAATACCAAGTAGAAATATAAAAAGAAGAAAGATAAGAGAAATATGTAAAAAGTTTGAATAAGATGTTTTAGACACTCATTCACAACTCTTATATTTATATACTAAAAAGAGCACATGTTAATATTACAATAAAGTAAACTGAATAAAATCATTGCATATTCTATGCCTAGACATATGTGTAAATATAGTCAAATCCATGATTTGTGGCTATCATATCTCAGATAATATGGTAAGTCACATCCTATGATTTGCGCCTATCATATCTCGGCTAACAATAACCTATTTTATATGGGTGCTGTTAATTGCAAATACGCAGCTGGTTACATTTTCTATCTTACTTTTCAAGACTTTTTGTTCTTATCTCAAATTTCAATCAGTGTAGCAAAATCAAATATTGAAATTAGTTTCTTCTTGTTTCCATTAGTTATGATTGTGATATTAGATTGGTAAAGCTGGCCTTTCTAACTATTTTTTCAGTCATGTAGGATTTCTACAAAAATATGTAAAGCATCTGAAGGATATGAAGTTCCTAAGAGAAGATCTGGTCTTTAGTATTCATAGTGTGGAGGTAATAACACACACACACACACACACATATTTTGTGATCAATGAAAGCTCGTGCTTACTTAGCTGTGCAGAGTAAAGAACATATGTCTTTACTCTACCATTTTGTAAAGATACTGAAAATCAGATTTTGGATGGCTTAAATTGGATATTCTATCATCTTGCATTGGTCAAAATCAGCTGAGACATATAAAACTAAAACTAATGTACAGATTGTTTGATGTATGCAAAATGCTGCTGATCCTATATTTTGGTCCCCTAAGACCTAATTATGATTCTTTTTACGATGTTACCCTAGTTAAATTTGGTCTTGTCTGTGTTGCAATACAGTATTATGTTCTTCCAATTTGAACTTCTCCAAGACATAAAACATGTTCAGTAACTTTTGCTGGTAAATATCAGATGAGATGTATTAAAGTAATGGCCAACAGAATGCTAACAAATATACATAACTTCCTGGGATCAGGACAAGTATGATCCCTCAAAGCACCATGACTTGCACCCCCAAGAAAGGAGCAGTTAAAAATAAACATGTTCTTAATCCTGCTACTTGGAGCTTGTTGGGATGCATTTATCAATTGAGTATTGATTGTATTGGTCTAGTGCGGTGTTTTAATCGTTGGCCTATCTTTTATTAAATGTGATCATGACTTCATCTTTCCCTTTCCTTATCTATCCACCTATCGCATACCATCTGCAGTGAGATCATTCAATACTTTGGTCATCCAAAATTCCAAATTCTACTGGATGTCATAAAAACTGGCCCTTAACTCTCTTTTCCTTTAGAAGATTAAGGTCTTACTTCCTAAGGCTTCTTTATTTATCATTCTTTATGAGATCCAAATGGAGATTAAGCTCCATTCATCTTGAGGCAAGTAATTACCAGAAATTATTCCCTGTAAGGTGCAAGCACTCTTCTTAAAAGCATTTTATGATGAAGCCTATGTGAAAATTATCATCTCTCCCTGATTAACTTTTTGGAAATTTGTCTTTCGAATATATTCTCGTGTCAAGAATGGAGCGTACATTTTTTTTTAGTGGCCTATTAAACGTATATTACATAATATAATGTTTGTTCTCTAGCTTGTTCCTTTTGTTTGACTCCCATTCACGATCTTCTCAGCAGAAAAAAAAAAAAAATGTATATATCATCATGCTGTGATGATATACTTTCATGTGTTTTATTTATCCATTCTTTTGTGTTTTGTGCTTGCCATTGCATGCTTTTCACCATTGCCCTCTATATGTACAACATGCAGGGTACAGATTCAGGGGTTGACACATACTTTGGTCTTTGTACATATCCTGGTAGAGAGACGCGACATCGCATTGATCTCAAGGTATTTCATAATTCCTCTTCATTACTTTGAAGATTCTACAAATTGAATTACTAACAGGGCAGAGCAGCCAAAAGTTCATGTTTTCTTTATTTGTATGGACTAATTTGTCGACCAAATGATGCTTTTTATGAAATAGAAAAATTATGTATCATCAAATTTAAATGATAAAATTCACAGTAACAGTTTTACATATACTCTTCTCATACGTGGAATCATTATGCTTTTGAGGAATCAAATATTGGTTTGGTATATTTTTAGATTAACATTGCCTACCATCACCATGTCCTAAACACCAACCAAGATCAGAAACTGACACCGGGAAGGAAATAGTTTACTTGTTCAATGGTTCAACAGTGGTCTCAATTAGTTGAACCAATATCAACAAGCTGTAACATTTCATTTATTATTGTTATTATTTTAAAAATAAAAAATAAAAAATTATGAGGAAGCTGTAGTTATAGTCGATCAACCAACCAATTCAGCAACTTCAGTCTCGTTAAGATAAAAATTTAATATCCAGCCAGTTCACCGGTTGGTCCAGTCTGATTCTGATAACTGTACTGAAAACCATTATTGTTAGAAATAATAATGATTTTAAATTTTGAGTGGTATTTTGAGCAATTATATGATATTATTGTAAGAAATCTTGCAGGAAGACGTCATTTTGATACATTATTGGATGAATTCTTGCTGGAAGATGTCATTTCGAAGCAATTTTCACCAAACTAGTTTAGGGTAAGAATAAACATATGAAATATAACTTTTCTACATGCAGAAGTATCTAAATAAATTATGTCAGTATAGCTAAAGATACCTAAGAGTTGCTTTTTCACCATTGATTGATTATGCAGAGAATGTTATTCGTAGAAAAAATTGAGATGGATATAGTGGATAAAAATTCCTTAGTCATTTTATGATCATAAAGTCACTACAACAAAGAAGGCCTTTGGCGACGAAACAATTCGTTGCTAAAGCTCAAATTTTCGTCCCTGTATGCTTTTAGAGACGAAATTATTTTCGTCATCAGTCGGCCCTACGTAACCGTCACTATTCATCTATACTGACAAGCTGTAGTTTTGTCGCTAAATCTTAGGCTTTTAGCGACGAAAGTTGTTTTGTTGCTGATTAGACAACCTTTAGCAACAAACAATGTCGTCACAATTTTTGTCAGTAAATACTAGTTGGCATGATTTGTTTTGTCACTAAATTATAGTTGCGAAGATCAGATTTCATCAGTAAAGCTTTTTGATGACAAATTTATGTAATATCACTAAATGTCTTTCTATAAATCAAATCTTCCATTCAATTAAATTTCTATACAAAATTCTATTCATTTCAATGCCACAAATCGACACAAATCAGAATAAAACATCAAATTTTATTATAAAATTACATTACAATAGTCAATTTCATTACAAAGTAAAACTAACTATTCAATTGTGTCGCACAAATTCAAACTAACAAGTAAAAGACACTCTCATCCTTTCATACTAGTCTTCTAGAATCTTAAAATTCTTCAAACTGTTTTTAGCTTTATGCATTTCCCCGTTGAATACAAGAATTCCCCACTAAGAGCCACTCCAGTGCCTGCAAAAAACAACCAAAAAATGTTTTCTGTAAATGAGACAACCGGGCCTATAAAAGTCAAAATAAAAAACTAATTAATATTCTCCTAAGGAATTAAACTTGACTAAGATGAATTCCTCCAAGAGATGCAACATCATTAACATGAAAAATATATAAAATACAAGAATTATTTACCTCAGTCATCGTGTCAGCAAGTGTCTTGATAGTAACCCCATTGTTAAGGTAGCCCACTGCCCACATTGAATAACTGGCCGTTATCACTGGCTAAGTTTTCTAAGAAAAATCAAACAACGCAAGTACTAATTCTAGCAAACAAGAAAGGAAAGACTATTTATCGCACAATAGTCTTCCATGACAGGTATTCCTGATTCAAATTCTTTAAATTAACAATTTAACACTCAAGAGCCAATCATTTATAGAACACCACAAGGATATATGACAATGAATATGCAATTTAATAAAAAGCTAAGAAGGAAATAAAACAAGAGGTAAACTAATGGTTAAACTGGTCCAACAAAGATGAAATAACACAAAAAAGATAACTATCAGAAATAAAACAGTAGGGATATAGCACTAATGTAAAACCAAACCCATTAGGCCTATGTTACCACTTACATGACCAGAACAGTGCTTATTGGGCCTTCAAGAGACATCAAAGCGTTCCCTTGTTCCCTCCTGAAAATAGAAAAAGAAAAAAGTAAGTAAATGCAATAAAAAATAAGTAAACTAAGCTAAACTATTAAGATAGGGTAAACAATGCCAATGTGCCTTCTCAAAGTGAGTATTAGTTCCACAAACCTTATGTAAGGCCACATAAGGGAGCATACAAAATGATGACGATGATAATAATAATATTATTATTATATTAACTAAGTTTGGTTAGAGTGTACTCCCACTCCCATTCTTTTTTTTTTTTTGATAAGTAATAATAAATTAAAAAGGGCGTTCAATAGGGGAACGCGTCCCGTGGACAAAGGAACCAGGGTTCAAGGCCCCAAAGAATCCAGAAAAGAAATTAAATCAACAAAAGAGGAACACGAAGTTCTGTTCACATAACAAAAAAGAGAGCAAATGATAAAAAGTTTCAGTGTCGCTGTAGACGACTCCTTCCCTTCAAACATTCTACTATTTCGCTCTTTCTAGATACACCACCAAATACAATGTGGTACAGATCTCCAATAAGCACGAACGCTCCTACTCACACGATAACCTCTCCAAGTATGAATTAGCTCCCTCGTAGAACGTGACATTACCCAACACATGCCAAATAGGCTAAGAATGAGATTCCAGCAATCGCGCGCTACTAAGCAATGCATTAGGAGATGAGCGACTAACTCCCCATTCTGCTTACATAAACAGCACCAATTAACAAGAAAATTTCCCCTTTTCCTCAGATTATCGTTCGTCAGAATTTTTCCCCAAACAGTAGTCCATACAAAGAATGCCACCCTAGTAGGGACCATGGATCACCAAATAGTCTTCCAAGGAAAATCATAGGATGCAAAATTAGACAGATAGAAAAACAAGGACCTAATTGTAAAACGCCCGTGAGAGGAGGGAATCCAATTCAAACTGTCAAAACCCCTACCAATTCCTTCTTGCCGATTCAATTGATCCAAGAAAATGCTCACCTCTTCTAACTCCCAATCCTGAAATGAACGCCGAAAATGAACATTCCACGTAATCCCATTATTATCAAGATGATAACAGTTAGCAACTATGGCATGTTTATCAACTGCAATACTATATAACCTGGGAAATGTATGACATAAAGGCTGGTTCCCACACCAAAGATCATCCTAAAAGCGGATGCAGCTACCATCTCGGACTCTGAATCTGATATGAGAGGAAAAGGCATCCCATCCTTGTCGAATGGATTTCCACGCCCCAACTCCTCCCGCAATAGAAACCGGACGTGTAGTCCAACCACCAACATCTTCCCCATACCTGCAAGACACTAATCTGCGCCAAGGACGATGTCTTTCCTTCCCGTATCTCCACAACCACTTACCCAAAAGAGCTTTATTAAAAGGGATCAATCGTTTAATACCAAGACCCCCCAACTTTATAGGCTTGCAAACTTGCTTCCATCTAACAAGATGATACTTGAACTCATCTCCCTTACCTCCCCAAAGGAAATTCCTTTGAATTTGTTCGATTCTATCAGTAACGGAGCATGAAATTTGGAACAAAGAAAGAAAATAAGTGGGAAGGCTTGATAAAGTGCTCTTGATAAGAGTTACTTTACCCCCCTTAGATAAATATTGCTTCTTCCAACCAGCCAACCTCTTTGCATACCTATCAAGCACAGAATCCCAACTCCCCACTAACCTGGAAGAAACCCCTAGGGGCAATCCCAAATAAGGATGGGAAAGGAGTTCACCCTGCACCCAAGAACTGCAGCTAAAGAAGAAATATCCTTAACATTCCCGACCGGGACAAGCACACTCTTGGCCACATTCACTTTTAACCCGGAAACTGCCTGAAAGCAAGCCAGAATGCATCTCAAGTATCTAAGTTGAGACACATCAGCTTCATAGAAAACCAGAGTGTCATCTGCAAAAAGTAGATGTGAAATCTCTACCTGATTGTCAATATCTCTTCCCACCCGGAATCCCTTGATAAGACCAAGATTCTCTGCCCGTTGCATGAGTCTGCTTAAACCCTCCATAACAATTAGAAAAAGAAAAGATGACAATGGATCACCTTGTCTTAAACCTCGAGAACACCCGAAAAAGCCAGCTGGAGAACCATTCACAAGAATTGAGAACTTGACAGTCGAAAGATAGTTCTCAATCCATGTCATCCATCTACTTCCAAACCCCATTCTTTTAAGCAAGTAGAGAAGGAAATTCCAATTGACATGGTCATAAGCTTTCTCAATATCAAGTTTGCAAAGAACTCCAGGAACACCACTACGCAACCTTGAATCCACACATTCACCAGCAATAAGAACTGAATCAAGAATTTGCCGTCCTCCAACAAAGGCATTCTGGGAATCTGAAATAATCCCATCCATAACTTCTCTTATTCTATGAGCCAGCACCTTAGCTATGAGTTTGTAAATACAACCCACTAAGCTAATAGGACGAAAGTCCTTAATATCTGAAGCGTTTCCTTTCTTAGGGATAAGGGCAATAAATGATGCATTGAGCGATTTTTCAAAAACACCAGTAGAATGAAACTCCTGAAAGGTACTCATCACTTCATTTCTCACAACCGCCCAGCTTTCTTTCAAAAAGCGCATAGTGAACTCGTCTGGCCCCGGGGCTTTATCCCCATTACAACTGGATAAAGCCTTAAGAACTTCTTCTTCAGTAAAAGGAAGCTCTAACCCATCTCTCTCCAATACAGAAATGGCCTTAAAAGGGAGACCATCAAGTTTAGGTCTCCAATCTAAAGGATCTGTGTAG